GGCTCAGGACATGCTTGTGTCAGCTTAGGGAGCTGATACAGAGAAGAGAAAAACATTTTCTTATTTTAAACATCACTGAAAGGGAAAATAGCAGATTGTAGTTATATGGGGACATATATTTTTATTTTCCTTAAGATAGACGTGGGGAGGGGGGTGAGGTAGAGGGAAAGAGGGCCAACACATGTGCTAATTAAAGAATGCAGTCCTTCAGCAGAGAGTGTGCCACTGAGAGCCAAGTGTTTCTGGAGGAAGGGGGACAAATGCAATTAAACATGTCATTTTTGAAGGACAGATTTGTGTTGCTGCATGTGAAATGTGCATTGCATTCTTCCCTAAACAGTAGAAGAGATGCTTAACTTACAAACAAGTCACAAGCAGGAGGATATTCGTAAAACAGTTTGAAGTTAGTTAAATCATTCATGTGCATCCACCGTTCTAGGAATGTAAAATCTGAACTTATTTGGGGCAGCTGAGAATAACTCCAGTGAAAAAAAAAATTAGCCACACTTCTACATGAAGAAACCACCTAAGAGTCCCTTTCAGCAGAGATGCTCATGCAGCTCCTGAAGGGCCTCTCCTGAACAGTTCAGGAGAAATGTACTCAGCAGAGTTTGGTCAGGTTGAAGGGAAGAGAGTGTTGCTTTTAGCAGCTGCTCTTACCCACACTCAGTAATTTGTTATCACCAGTCTCACCAAAAGGAATAGAATAATAGAATTGCTTCTGAAGAGCTAGAGATGCGTGCTTTAGCAGTATTTGCCCCTCAGTGGAAAATGTTACATATATATATATATGTATATATATACATATGTTGATGCTGGGAAATGCACTGAGATATTTACCTTGGAGAGAGGAAAACGTATATAAAAGTTGATGCTAATAAATATGTAATGAACAGCTGTGGAAATGAAATTGGGGGAAGTGTATGAAGAGAAAATAGATAGAACTAATAGCAGCTGCTATTTTAGGGGCTTAGGTTTGCTGAAAGTATAGATTTATGTTACTTGAGAAATGGTTTAAGCCTTCTAGATTAAGCAAGATGTGCAAGGGAAAACTCTGAACTTGAAGAATTCTTTCTGGATGCAGGGGCAATAAAGGACCAAAATAAAGTCAGGGATGCTTCCCTGATCCTGACATTCTCTAAGCCACAAATGTCTAACTTTGCAGTCTTAATGTTGCTTTAAACTATTTCCCTGTGTAGCTATTTACATAGTGACCCAAAGCACACAGGACTTTTTACAGAAAATAGAACTGTAGTTGTCGAGTGTTTGCAGTCTAAATTTGTGGAAGTCACAGCAGGAGCTAGTAACAAACAGTGGGGGCAACTGTTAAAAACATACTTGGTGCTTAGGTAGCTGTGGTAACCATAGTATGTTCCTAAAAGTAGACAGGAGAGCAGAATTTAGGTGGAAATACTACAGTTATGATGAAGCTGAGAATCCTGGAAATATGAACTGTGGCTGTGTTGGATGCAGTGTCTTTGTGTGCTTGCATTTGTTATGGTCAAGCCGTAAAGGACACACACAGATTTGTGACGATGCTGGCCCAGCCTTCAACAGCTTGAATTGGTTCCAAGTTTGCCAAAGTTTCCCTTTGATATGGTGAGCCATTTAGGGCCAGACTTTTCAAAGGCACTGAAACAAATGAAGAAACATTGAGGCACTTTTCAAAATCAGGAATCTCCGCAGGCAGCTGTGGGTGTTTCACTTGGGCAGTAGATTTACCGTGAGGTGCTTGTCGTGTGCTCATCCTGGTTTTTGCAGTGGTAAGTTCTTTAGGGGTGGACACCTTTTTGGATTTTCAGTGGCAGCTCTGAAGGTTTCCTGCTGTGGTGGTTTGGTTTGGCCAAGCACCAGGCACCCACAGTAGCCACTCACTCACCCTCCCCTGCCACAGCTGGGCAGGGGAGAGAGAAAAATTGATGAAGGGTTCACAGTGTGCTCAGCTGACCCAGTGGCAGCAGTGTGAAAAGCAGGCCTTGGAGGGTTGTGTCTGTATCCTCCAGACCAACATCATAAAGCAGGTGAGAGGATACAGGGTGATTCTGTAGCTCGTTAAATCCACTGGGAATTTCAAATACAGTTGTCTGCCCTTTAGGATATTGCAGCTGAGAAGAGGTCGTCACGTAGAGAGGGTGGCCAGTGGAGAATCTTGACAGCTGTGTGAATTATTAGATTGTTGAAGAGGTATTTCTTTTTATGGATATATGTCCATTAGCAGAACAAGTTGAAGGGGTCTGGAAAACAGCCCTGATTTGCAGTCCATTATATTCAAATTAGAAATGCAGTATCAAGAAGTTACAATCCAGAAAATATTGGAAGGCATGTAAGCTTCCTATAAAAATAAAATATATTTGATTGAACTGATAATAAAAAATACTTGAGAGATTTAACTGATGTAGTAATACCTTGAAAAGAGGAAAAAAAGGGAAACACCTTAGATGTAAAACTCAGAAGGAGGGCCTGTATTCAATGCCACTTGAAGCAGTTGTATCCTAGCAATTCCATTTAATAATAATAATAAACATAACGAGTTAAAACGTAGTAGTTAAATGAGCCATAAAAACGAAGAGTCCATAATTTGTGTGATATTGTGTCAGGTAATCGGATTAAAATAAACTAATGTTTGCATTTATTTGTGTTTAGGAGAAAATGAAGTGTAGCTGAGTGCTGCTACATACATTCCATCCTGGAATGAAAATCACATTGTTTTGACTGTGTTATTTCTATATCCATGCAAACCATCCTCATCACTCCATAGCTTTTACCTCCCTAATGCAAATAGGGTTGTGTCATTTGAAATCAGGGGCTGTAAGGCCCCTTGGAGAGTTACAGAGGAGCAGCAATTTGGAAAAAAAATGAAATGCAGCAGTCAGATTTAGGAAGAAAGGGCATTTTCCTGGTAAATGTTTTCCTAAATGGGAATTTTTCAGCGTGGTGTTTTGCTCATGTGTTTGGCAGTCACTTGGAATCAAGTGCAGACTTAAGCTACATTGTGGGCTTGGCAATGACAATTTGTGTGTGTGTGGTGCTTTAGTTATATTAGCCCTGGAGGCAGAGTTAACACTTGCAGTGGGACAAGAGTATTTGCAGTCATCAGAGAACTTTGCAGTCAGCTTCAATAACATCACTCCATTTTTTTCACTTTTTTTTAACATTTTTTTTGGCAGCAAAGCACTTAGTAGAACCATCTGTCTTTCTATTAGTGTTTTTGAGTCCTGTTTTGAAGCTTCTTCGCTTGGCAAAGTCACTTTCATCCTTGGAAACCATATAAAAAAAAAAGTTCTGTGGCTTTTTGCCGAAGAAGAGTACTATGCAAAAATTCCGCATGGCTGTTCATTTTTGTTCTAAAAGAATACAGTTACTTTGTCTTTGTCTTAAAAAAAAAAAAAAAAAAGAAAAAAAGGCAAACCACAAAACCTCAAACAAAATAAACAAAAAATAAACACGTGGAGAAAAGGCAGGTATTGGACAGCTCTGGGATAACTGCGTGCAGATAGAGAACAAATCACATTTTGTATGGTTTTTTCTCCCGTAATTGAGTTGAAAATAGGTATGCCTTCTAATTAACAGGATCAGAATAGAAAGACAAATATTGAAGTAACAAAAAAATGGATCAAGCTGGTTCAGTGAGTGGAGCTACATCTACTCTGTCTTTCAGCCCCACTCTTAATCTCCCACTGCAAGAATTTCTGTCAACAGTGCTCTTGAACTCTGTGCTTGAAAATTGTTTCAGACCATACAGACACAGTCAGCACACACAGGGGTGTTGCTGGCTCCAGGCATAAATTAAAAGGGATGGTAATCCCAAATTTTGTATCACTGTTTTGCCTGGTTACGGTGTTGGGTGAACCAAGACGTGGCCCCTGGACTTTAAGGAGAATAAATGAAAATAGAGTTAGGTCAAATGGTGTATTCTGAGCGGTGGCAGCCAAGGGCTGGGGCAGGTTCTCTTTCCCAGTTCTGCTGTCAGGCAGCAGTGAAGGGAGTAACACCTTCTTGTGCCCCTCAGCATAGAAGGTTGTCTGTTGCTACTCTGATTTTCTGAGTTACTTAAGGCCACAAAATAAATTATAGTTTACAAAGATGTCTCCATCTCGGATGCCTCAGCTTTGCAGCGCCATTGAAATCTAGATGAGCTCTCTTAAAAACTGAGCCAGCCTTCTTGACTGACTGATCTGGTCAGTACAGGGGGGGGTTTAAATTGAAACTAGACATTTAGCATCTTAATCCAGCAAACTTTGTGTTTCTCATCTGTGTGAAATGCAGGGACAGCTTCCATTTCTATCAATTATAAAAGCTATTAACGGAACTGGGTAAAAGCAACAGCAGTAGACGTTGTGCCATGGCCCACTTCCAGCTTTGATGACTAATTTCTGCATGGCTTTAGTCCCCTGCAGTATCCACTTACAATATAATATTTTCCACTTCCTGGCTTGCATGGTTGTGTAGAGTTGCTGTGCAAAGTTGAACGCCTAACACTTCAGAAATGGCTGTTTTATTTGTGAATAAAGGGTCTCAGCCTTTTTTCTGAGACTTCGTCTTTTCACATGTACAAATAAGTGCACGTGTATGAGCAGTAAAATAGCATTGGCTGTGCTGTGTGCTGCTTGTGCACTTATTTTTCCTTTCTGAGGAGGTGTCTCTGTGTTTGGGCTTGGTCAGGGTGAAAGCTACTGTCTGAAACAGATACTGCTACACAGTTCAGTGAAAGAGAAGGAAGTACCCCCCTGCAGGCAGAGATAAGTGAGTCATCATGGACTGTGGGGGGAATAATTAAGTGGGATATAGATATGCCTTAGTGAAATATTTCAGTTTATTTTGGATTCATGTGATTCATATGGAGTGTCTGGTGATGAAGATCAAGCTCCTCAGTTGATGCTGCTGGAACAGCCCAGTATGAAGAGGTGTACACCTCTCAGATCAGCAGTGAAAGAGAGCATACCAGCAGACATTGTCCCCCCCAAAATCCTGTGTTTGATTATCCCTCTCCTGTTCAGCAGGTCCAGGGTCAGCTGCCTCCATTAATGATTCCCGTGTTCCCTCCAGACCAGCGAACCCTAGCAGCAGCTGCACAGCAAGGATTCCTCCTTCCTCCTGGTTTCAGCTACAAGGCGGGATGCAGTAAGTCCTGGAGATTCTTTTAGCTGGAAGTGGGTATTACAGGGCACACTTTCCTGCCAGTCTCTATGAAAACAGCACCCTGTCGATGGACAAAGCCATGGATTTGCAGAGATGAGTGTGAAGCAGGGCATTAGTTGTTACAGCGTGAGAAAAGCCTGTCAGAGATGAGGGATGTGTTCCTACATAGCAGCCAAACATCTGACACAAGAGGTGGATTTGTGCACCTCCTCTCTGACAGGCCTTTCTGACAAGTGAACATGCTCATGACCACAAACTTGCATCTGAAGAGAAGCTTTTTGAAACTTCCCAATAAATTTCAACACTGTTGTAAGAAAACATGTTTTTTCCTGAAGCAGACTGCTTGCTATTTGTGAACTGAGGGCCTATTCTAGTCTCTTTCTTCACACAGAGCTCACATTAATCTCAACGGAGGTTCTGCACAGAGATCAAAGATAGCATATGCCTTTCAGTTTGATGGACTAACACAAACTCTGAGGATATTTGTGAGAGCCTAACACTTAAAAATATAGCATCTACTTTTTTAATCTTTGAAAGATTTGTATTGTTCTCTACATTCCCCAGATTTTTTTTTTGTATTTTATTTAAGCCTTCTATAGGATTTCATCGTCCTGTCAACATGATGAGAATAAATACAAGTTAAGAAATAATGAAGGAACTTTATTTCTGTGAATAAACTTAGCTAGAGCATGAATTTCATAGACTTGTTTCTGTGCACTTGTAGAACTCCTCTGCCATCAGTTTTCTACTGAGTTATCCTGGACTTGCTTGTTCCACCCTTCTCTGTCTCTGGTATGGGTGTTTGTTATGTCCATGTCCCTGTATCCATCTGTATCCTTGACTAACTCATTAATTCATCAGTTGGTTTGAGTTACTCAGCACTTGCCACTGCTGCATTTTTGTAAACTTAGAACACAAAAAGATTTCTTTAGTTAAGCTGGCTTGCCCCACAATTTCAGATTTCTCTCAGCTTCTGAACATCACAGACACAGTACTTGAGTTTCTTTGGCCACTAACACCTTTTCCTGATATTTCTCAGACTGGGACCACTATTGCAGGTACTGTTCCAAACACTTCACATCCCTCAGCAGCTGCAGTGCCAAAGCATGGTCTGGTTCAGCTCTTGCAGTGATTTCACACACTCAGTCTCTGTCGGCTGGGAGAAGCAGTGACAGAACGTGACAGAACGTGCAGCTGCGAGCCACGCTGAGTGTGAATGCTGCCATGGCTGTGGGGCTGCAGAAGGTCAGCAAAGACAGATAGATCTGGCAGATGATGTTGTTTCCATGTTAGCCAAGTCCAGTTTGGGTAGGAGTTGAGGTGGTTTTTTCCCTTCTTTGTTCTGCGTGCACATGAGCTCCATGATGGTCCTGTAGTTCCTCACATCTGTGAAATAGATGTGACGTTACGTGTTTGTGTAACCCTGAAAATTGAAAGGCAAAAAGAGCAAAGTTTCTGCTGCTTCTGGCAGTAAGGCTTGGAATTAACAGTGTGCCAAGATGTAGGGCTGAGCAGGAGCCAGTGGAAAAAGACAGCTCTGTGTTTGGTGGTTGCCTGGCATGTTTGGCTGAGTTGGACTGCGAAGCTGAGGAGAAGGGATAAGCAGTCCAGAGGGTTTCTTCCTTTCACTCACCACCTAGAGCAAACACAAACTCACATACGCATTTAGCCACACCTGGAAAGCTTCACCTAGCTGCCTTCAAACCACCATATGTTCACATCAAGTCATGTTTTTGACAGACCACTAAAACATGTTTCTCCCATTTTTTTGCTTGCCCTACTGTGTATCGGTCCACTTGGTAAATTAGAGAGCTTGGGGTACAATTGTGTTAAGCACCTGAGTGATTTAGGAGACTAAACCTTCCTCTTAAGAGTGATAAAGGCACTAGGATCTAAGCCTTAGGGGTATTTACCAAATTCTTGTACTGCAAGCTTCACTGCAGTCACCTGTGCTGGCTTGAACTGAGCTGGAGTGGGTTTTAGTACCAGCACTGTGCTGCAGCAGAGAATGTCCAGCAGATTAATTTGCTCAGCTTCTGAATGGGTTAAATGCCTGGTTTTCACTGAGTTTGCTTTTGGGAGCAAAGACCTCCTAGGAACTTCCAAAGACCCAACCAGCATCATCTGTACATGGCTGCCATTCTGTGTTTTAAAATCAGTTTATGTGCCTGACTTGTGAAAATGGAGCCTCACTTCTGCATTTTTCCAGTCCTTTTGGAAAACCTGCCCTTCTTTCTGGACTGGTGGCATTTTTCAGAATTGTTTTCTGTGGCTGATTGATGGAAATTCTCTAGTGATGATTCTGTTATTTATTAGCATTAACGACCTGCAGATAGGAATGATAAAATCTCCACGTGACTATTCAGTTTCAGTCACAGAGAACATAAAGGTATGAAAGTTTTCACATACTGTTCCTCGAAAAAAGTGAGATTTGAAAATTTGGGGGAGAAGGAAGAGAGAACAAATATTTTCATAACAACAACAACAACAAATATTTTTATAACTATCCAGTGGTGCAGAGCTCCTTGGCTTTGGAGACACATTCACAGGGACATTTGTGCTGCTCTGCACCCTGTGAGAAGCCAGGTCTCCAGAAGGAGATGTATGGCCAGGCTTCCTGCCTAAGCATTCTCAAACTTGCTTCTGTCCAGGCTGGGACAGCAAGGACTCTCTGTTACAATTGCTTAAACTGAGATGGTTCTTATTCACGGGAAGCTGTTGGGAAGGGATTAAAGAGCAGCCTGGCCACAGTGGTGACCTTTGCAGGGGCTCTGGTGGGAGCTGTTGGCCTCTTCAGCCCAGCTAGGATGAGTGATCAAGGCTCAGGGTGTGCAAAAGAGAAGAAATAACGAAGAGCTGTACTGCTGTTTTATTTTCATTCAGCTTAGCTAACAAAACCTCATTTAACTTACTCAGTGCTTTCTGATCCACCTGTGCCTCCCAAGAGGGGGTGAAATGTGAGTCCCCCAATGGTTTCAGAGCGTGTGAGTGGGAGGGTTCCTGAGGCAGTGCTTACCCAAGGGCTCCTGACTCACCAGACAGAGGCTGCAAAAGAAGAGCATTGCCTTCTCTACACATTCTTTGTTTTCTGAGCATCTAGGCTGAAGAGAACACAAAAATAATCATAACATTGATAGCAGTGGTCCATGTAGGCTCCTTTCCTGGCAGATACCCGATGAGGAGCAGGGCAGAAGTGCACTGATGCTTTATCCCCATCCCTTGCCAGGTTGCAGTGGCTGAGGACTCAGGGCCCTTCTAACCCAGTGGTGGCACCACTGGGAGATGTGGTATTGAAAACAAAGAGTTTTTCTCTGCTTGGTTCCAGCCTGATGGAAAACATTCTAGAGAGATGAAACGCTCAAAAAAAAAATACAGCAGTATCAGTCTCTATTATGTGCAGAGCAAATGATTCAATTATGCTTTTCCAAATATTTTTCAAAATTGGGTAAATAAAGGGAGGAGAGGGGTAAATATTTTCTCCGTGGTTCCATGGCAGGTCATGGTCTTTGGCTTCCAATTTGATGTACTACATTTCCTTTTCTTTCTTTTTCTCCATAGCAGATCATGCTTGGGAGTGGCTTGGGTTTTCATTTTGTTTTGTTTTTTTTCAAACAGATGGTTTGCATTACATAAGGGACAATTTACACAAGTTGACACTTCCCCTTTTTTCTCTATGGCATATTGTGTGGTGGTAAAGTTGGCAGAGATGAAGGGAGGAACTTCTATTAGGATTACATTTCTATTTGAGAAAAAGATTCATAATCTCTGGTTCCAGTTAATTTTCAGCCTCCATACCTAGACATAATTGCATGTATAAAATATTTAATATTACTATTTACAACTGAAGTACTTTTTCTTATGAGAAAAAAAAGTTGGCAGTATGTGATGGGCTGTATAGTCCCCAGTTAGCAAGGTAAATACTGATTATGTACTTATTCAGTCTGTATTTAGTTATTAATGCAATGTGTGCTATTTGGAATTTAAATGCTTTTATCTTTTCATGCAAATTTTTTTCATTTTCTTTATATGTATTTTATGATATACATAATATGTAATTTTTAGATAGATAGATAGAAAATACCTATCTATAGATGTAAAACATCAAATACATATTTTATATCTAAAAAATATAGACATAAAATATATTTTTAGATTCAAATCTTTTTACAAAGGGCTGATGTTTCGAGGTTAGGTGCTAACTAAGTTAGTGACTGGCAGCATGAGCAGATTTGAGGAGTTGACCCAGTATCCCAGCTATTGAAACTGGTTTTAGCAGCAGGAAAGCACCTTCCATTTCAGCTGATGCTGCAATCAGTCTGATTGCTGCATTTCCCAGAGCTTCTCCCACATTTGGGCTCCCCAGATGGGCTCAGGGCGTTTAACCCTTCCTTTCTTCTCCTTCCATAAGCTATCCCTTGTTACTCCTGCTGCTGCTGGTTGAGCCCTGCCTGTGGTGCTTTGCAGATAATAGACACAGCTCCCAGGATTTTAGCAATGGCAAGGGAGATGTCAGCTCTGCTGAGGGCTCAGGAGCTGTTGCTGTTGACTTCACTGAAGTCAGATTTCACACCAGATGATACAGATCTGCTAGGGCCTCTCTTAGAAATAATTAGAATTTATTTAGAGCTAATTAATATTTGAGAAGTGCTTTGAAAGCATAAAAGTGGTGCAAGTGATAGAAGAGAAGAAGTTTTGTATTGTGCCCTTTAAAAGCTGCATGGTTCTGCCTCTGAGCAAGCTGCTTGTCATTTGTAGGTAGTATGATCCTTTTATTAATGCACATTTGTATGGATCTGTATGTGGAATATTAGGGCATGGCTGTATCTCTTATGCAAGAGATACTAAAGGGTGTGAAATAAAGATTTGGGGAAGCACAAGGAGCTGCTTCTGGGGGCTGAGCTACAAAAAAGGCAGGAGCAGTTAGGATGAGAACAGAGTTCTCTGTGTCTTCATCAACACTCCAAGGATCAGCATGGTCAGAA